CCTTCTTCTAAGAAAATCTGTCACTTACCACAATACTAGATCTGTTAGTTCCAATCTCATTGCTGGTTCTCTTCTATCCTCTTCCCTGTCTGACTTATATAAACTCCCTTCTCCTGATACTATGGTTTCCTTCTATAATGATACTATCTCTGTACTGCTTAATGATGTAGCCCTTCTAAAGACCAGGCTGATCCCAGCCACTCGCTACTGTCCTGGTTCACCCCTGAGCTCAGAATAATGAAGGCCACTGTGTGTTGAATATTTTACCATAAGATGTTACTTTATTCTTCTTTACTTTAATGTTTCATATCCATTAATTACACTTAAACTTACCAGTTAGTGCACCCCCAACAATGATGGGAAATGCAGTTCTCAGCGTGAGGATTATAATATTCTGCCAAGAACCTGCAAAATGAACACGTTATTTTTAAAATAAAATAAAAATGAGATTTATATTTATATGTTAAATTAAACCTATCATACATCATGACAGCTACCCCAAATTACAAAAAAAATATTTAACAATGTCAGACCATTAATGACCATTCATTCTTTAAGGACAAATTAAACTAAAATTCATCATGTCTGATCATGAGCTGTTAGATGATCATTTTACACACATTAGTACCAGAAGATCCTTATTCAAAGTAAAAGTCTCTGTGACCCACATTACAGTATAAGAGCTGGACAGTGCACTGTTACAACCCTGATACCAACAGTAACTGGGCTGCAGGAGAACCAGCAATTATATGGAAACACCTCATGGAAAATGTACTGATGAATTGTATTAAAATGTACTAAATTATTTTAATGCATATTTTGTAAACTACAGTAATTTGGATAAATACACAAATATTCTGTTGCTGTGCAAATACATCTAGTGATGCTCCTGCTCACATCCTCAGTGATGTTCCTGGAATCTCAGGGTGTTTCGGGTCTTTCAGCATCATACACCCTCCTCCAGGCAACCTGGCTGAGACTGATCAGGCCCCAGCTTGTGTCCAGGTGGCTTACTGGCTCCTCTGCCCCCATGACTCCCCTCTCTTCAGCCACAGCCATCTTGAAGCTTTCTCTGTCGCTCTGATGGTGCTGCAGCTCTTCTCTTCCTCTCACCTTCAATGGCCAACCTACTGAAGGCTTTAGTTAAAAATCAGGCTGCAGAGCCCATGCAGCTGGCCTCCATAGGGAGAGACATCTCTCTCCATCCACCTTGGTCCAGGACACCTGCTGAGGTTCTTGTGGCAGATCTTAGTTGCTCCCCAGCTCTGATGAAGGCGATTGCCAGCCTGGAGGGGCAGGAACATTTAGCCCATTCCACTCCTGAGCTGATAGCTTCAGTGATGGCCTTGACTCAGCTTGCAAAACAGATCTCTGCCTACTGGGGACATGATGTTCCATTAAAGGCAACTGCACCAGTTTGTGTGGAATTGAGCCATACGCATTTTCCAGGTCGTGCCACAGGACTGACAGATTGCCTTTGTTCTCCCAGCCTCCCTGATCAGCTGTGTCACCACTAGTGATGCGCAGATCGGCTCTGACTCCATCCGAATCTGCATGTACATATAAATCATCCACCCGCCACCCGCCACCCACCCGAATGAAGTATTTTCTCTGATTCAGAGACCGGCACCCGATCACACATTACCAGTATTTCTCAGTGGGATACATGTAAGTGTGATGATCTGATAACATATTACACTGAATTAATCTGGTTTTAAATAAATAAACATAAACTTAAAGTAAAAGTTTTGGTAAAATAAAAATGGCAACAGGTATTTCCACAACAGCCTGAACACAGACTGACATCTTTCCTCCCATCAGACTATAATTCTGCATGTCATGGCATCTTCCCAAATACAGACCATTAAGAATACTAATACCATGTTACATATGACATTCCCAGCATTGACTCGTCATGGTAACTATTTCACTAAATCACTCCCACACATAACTTTTCTGCCCTTCCTTTTTATTTGTTTCTAATTCTCCTTATTTGATTTTCACTCAGATCTTTTTTGCCTCCGTTGCTCCTTAAGACAAATGGACCCGCAATGAGAGTCTAGTCTGCTAATTCATACCTGATGTAAAATGAAACTTAAAATACATTCACATTTTATAGAATGAAATGAATATTTTCCTCATTTATGACATATATCACCCATGTGCAAACCTTCTGCTATTAATTAGAAAAGTAATTTTTATGAATCTGCCTCCCCGGTGCCCCCCCCCCCGGATATAACTGCGATTTGCACATCACTGGTCACCACGCCCATGTGCTCCAGGCATCTGGCCATTCCTGAAATGTCCCCTTTCTGAAGTGATGTATCGACGTAACTGAACTTCACAAGAAGGGTGCACAAACAGCACTGAACATGATCTTTGTTTCAACACTCAACAGAGAGAGGAGGTGGAACTGGTCTATTCACCTCCAGTTCTCCTCCTTTGGGATCCAAAACTCTTCAGCCACCCTCCCCTGGAAATACTGGCCTTTCTCCAGACGACTCAGGGGATCTTCCACAGGCACAGGAAGAGATTAAGGTGATTCTTGTTTACTTTGCATGGGTGTCACTCAGGCCTGGAGCTGAGCTTGCTCATCGTCTTCTGACCACCTCAGGAACCTCTTTCAGCTGCAGCTCTGATGTATCAAACTGTACAGCTGCCTCAGTTGGCTGTATCAGTGTGCTGCACTCTCCCAAGTCCTGATCTATTGCTGGGTCACTGTACATCTGCTTCAGATGGTGGTCTGTCACCTCCTGTGAACAGGCCAGCTTGCTGCTATGCTTCTGCTCTAACAGTTCCTTCATGAACTTGAAGGGCTTGGTGATGAATGCAGTGCTTTCAGGCTCTTTCACGGCATCGTCTCTGATGCCACTCTGCCTGGCGGAGGACCCTGATCTTCTTCTGTAGGATGTACATCAGCTGAGCCAAGCCACTGCGCTCCTCTTCTTTTTCCTGTTTGTATTGGGACCTGAGGGTTTCCATCTCCTGCCTGATACTATGGATCCTCACTGTTTTTTGCTTCTTTATATATGGTCCTTTGGAAGCTCTCAGCTTCTCCTCTCCAAACCGCTCTGATACAATGTTGACAATGATCGCTGTCTTGGTAAAACTAACTATAAACACCTGTCTTTATTTTACAGTTTTTTTTTCCCCAAACAGTGACAACCTCCTTTAATATGAAGTGTATAAAACAGGATAGGAAACATGGAAATATGTAAAAATACCTGTAATTAATTCCTGATATGGAGCCATATTAATCAACACCAGGATACACAGCATACTGATGGCAGTACAAGTAACAGCCTCTTCTGTGGATCCTGGAAAACAATTAACATTACGTTTTATTTATTTAGCAGAGTCAACCAGGGTCAGAAAATACCCGGAGCAATTGGGGGCTAACCCTTCTGTTGTGTGTTCAAATCCTGTCTCCTCTGTTTTTGTAGATTTTGTTCCCTAGTTTTTCATTTGTATCAGTGTTCTAGTTCTCGTGTTTCATGACTTATATTCTGTTTTTGTTTTTTTGCTTTGGTTCTGTTTTACCTGTCTTCGTTATATTCCCCAGTGTTCTATTTTGTTTCCTAGTTTGAGTGTCATGATTTAGTTTCTTAGTTTCTCTGTTAGTTTAACTGCCTTGAGTTAATTAGTTTCACCTATTGCCTGGTCTTGTGATGACCCTTGTGTGCTTCCTGATTGCTCGTTGTCCTGCACCCTTCCTGATTGGTTGACTGTTTGTCTCACTCCTGCTGTCTCCTTACCCAGGTCCAGTTTTTGTATTTAAGTTCCTGCCTGAGTTCAGTTCCCCAGTGGGTCATTGATGTTGCTGGATGTCAGTGATGCATATCTGTTGTGTTATTTCTGCCCACCCTTTTACTTTGACCCCATGTGGTCTGATTTTGTTTAGTAGTGTTCCTGGTGTTTTCAGTTTCTGATAATAAACCCCAATCCTTTGAGCCACCAGAGGGTCGTCCACCTTCCTGCCTGTACCATACCTCATCCTCACCCCAATTCCGCCCGGATCCATGACACACTCTGTGAAGTCTGTGATTTGAACCAGCGACCCTCCAAATACAGGCGAAACATCTTAACCCATTGAGCCACACCCCCTGAGGCGTCACTGATAAAACTGAAGGAATCCTCTCCTCTTACAGTATTTATGTTGGCAGCCATATAATTGTTCCCCAGTTCTGAATGCAGCACTAGGATCCCTGTTTTTCCTGTTTAAATTTCTTAGCTTCTCACAACTTCCTTCCTTCTACTCTGCTGAACTTTACATTGGATTTCATGTTACCTGTCACTTCATTACTGACTGCTAACATCTAAAATTCTATAATTAGTCACCAGGGGGCGCTGCCTCTGATGTTGTAAATATATTTTTATTTCATCACAGTGTGTTTAATGATCTCCCTGTTCTTGCAGGTAATCCAGAAAAGCAGATGCTGATTTTGAGTAAACAAAATCAAATCTGCGTTATCCTACACAGACTCACAGTGTCAATAAAATAATCTTTTAGGAAATACATATCAAACTATAAATAACTATGAGTTCATTTATGAAGTATACTTATTCACCTCACAAATGAATCACCACAGTGTAAATTACAAATACTAAGTATCAGCCTCAAATTACAGAGTCACTAATTTATATAATTAATCCCCAGCAGGTTGCTGTTTATGCTGCTGCTGTTTATTTCTTACTGCCTGCACAACAAAAAAAAATCTGTCTCTTTGTAAAGCTTCTTTAAACCATATTCAATGGGCTCACCTTCAGTTACACCCCACAGGATGAATGCAGAGGAAACCATGATTGGTGGAACTGTGACATGTGAACAGTGACTCAACAGAGCCTGTTTGCTTTTATCTATAGACAGAAAGTAGAATCAGATTTAACCACATGCTCTTTAATATCAACTAACAATTTATGTAAAGCTGAATGATCTACAGCCATCCTCAGATGGTCATTCTGCTGCATGCTCACCTACAGACACCCAGCGCAGACTGTCAATGTCACTAGATGCAGCTCCTGCATTATTTTAGTATAATTTCAATGAGGACATCAGCTTTGGTTCATTGTTTTAGTATACAGGGGTTTACAGTGATAAAACTTTTGGAAATTACTCATATTCACACATATGTGTTTGTTACCAGAGGCACAGGATCAAAGTACAGTGGTACCTCAGTTCTCAAACTCTTTAGAACTCGAATTTCTTAAAAGTCGAACCAACCAGTTTGGAAAAAAAAAATTACCTAGAGCTAGATCTGAATCTCAGAAGTCAAACCGTGAACACCGACCTAAGATAACAGGTAGGCGCGGGGAAATGAGTCACGCGGCACGTCTCTCAGCTGAAACAAAGGGTAAAGCTTCAGTCTCAGCCTCGCATTAGCACTGTGCATGTTTGCACTAACTGAATACATATATTTAGTCAGTAAAAATATATTTAGACAATGATAGACAGTAACAGTATTATATAATAAAATTAGGGATGTGCACGAATACTCGATTAATCGATTACTGGAACCCATCAGCTACGATCGAGCATGAAAATGACGATCGATTGGCTCTAAAAATGCATTTTTTAAAATTAAACTACTTTCATTCTTTCTGATTGGTTATGCTGTTATTTGGGCGGTAGTCTGATATTTGATTGGTTACGGCTGTGAGAAGTTGCGGTCTAGAGACAAGACCGGAGCATAGAGCGAAAATGGCTTCTAAAGCGCGCAGCGATGTCTGGCAACTCTTTGAAAAACTTGACGAAAAAACAGTCAAGTGTAAGATGTGCAGCGTCACAGTCGTCTACAACTCCACAACGAGTTCGATGCGTTTATGGCAAGCCGTTTTAACATTTAATCAAGTCACACTCCTATCCGTAATTACATTTTAGATATACATAATTTCATTTCTCCTAGTCAAAATTATATTCTTACTAGTCAGAATGGCAATTGCAGATATCCACAATGACATTCTTACTAATAGAAAATGTATTTCAAGATATCTAAAACTTCATTTCTCTTAGTCACAATTCTATTTAAGATATCTTTAAATCTTTACAAAGTATACTGTAAGTG